CCAGGGGCAGCCACAGCTTCCCTGGGAAACCTGTGCCAGGGCCTGCCCACCCTCACAGGGAAGAATTCCTTCCTGATTAATTAGCGAGGATCTGAGTGGCTGGAGTGGATCTGAGGAGGTTGGAGAGGAGCAAGTTTGCTCTGGAGAGAGGGAACAAATCCAGCCTGGAGCAGCCAGGGAAAGCACCAGAGCCCTTCCTGGGGGCTGCAGCAGCTCCTCACCCTGGCTCCAGGGGTAAATCCCAGAAGAAATCACTTTACAGGAGATTGTTACCAACACAACCCCAACCCATCGTAATTAGCAGATGAGTTAATCAGCAAGAGGCACATGGCTGGGGGGGTGTCTGGCCTTGGTGGTCTCCAGCCATCACTCCCCTTGGGTTGCTCAATCCCCAGGGGCCACAATGCCCCCCCAAAAAATGCCCTTTGCTGCAGGCAGGAGCCTCTGGAAGCGCCACATCCACCTCTCTATGCCCTGGCACTGCGCTGCTGCTCCTCCTCAGGAGAGTCCTGCTTGGGGCTTGGGGTGGCTCTGGGCTGGAAAACAGGGATAATGGGATCAGCTGGGCACCCTCCAGGCTGGTCAGAGTGCCAGCCCAGGGGTCTCACTGGGTGTTTGAGGTGGGACAGGGACAGTCCCAGACCTGTGTTTGAGGTAGGACAGGGACAGTCCCAGCCCAGGAGACTCACCCAGTGTTTGGGGTGGGACAGGGACAGTTCCAGGGGGACTCCCTGGGTGTTTGAGGTGGGACAGGGACAGTCCCAGCCCAGGAGGACTCATTGGGTGTTTGGGGTGGGACAGGGACAGTCCTATACCTGTATTTGAGGTAGGACAGGGACAGTCCCAGCCCAGGGGACTCACTGAGTGTCTGAGGTGGGACAGGGATGGTGTTTGAGGTGGGACAGGGACAGTCCCAGCCCAGGGGACTCACTGAGTGTCTGAGGTGGGACAGGGACGGTGTTTGAGGTGGGACAGGGACAGTCCCAGCCCAGGGGACTCACTGGATGTTTGAGGTGGGACAGGGACAGTGTTTGAGGTGGGACAGGGACAGTCCCTGGGGACTCACTGGATGTTTGAGGTGGGACAGAGACAGTGTTTGTGGTGGGACAGGGACAGTCCCAGCCCAGGGGACTCACTGGGTGTTTGTGGTGGGACAGGGACAGTCCCAGCCCAGGGGACTCACCCTGTATTTGAGGTAGGACAGGTAGGTGTCCCAGCCCAGGGTGACCACGTTGACATAAACCACCCGGTAGGTGGGAGGGACGAAGAGGAAGTTGAGGAGCTGAGCCGCCGGCCACACGCACCAGTCGGCCTGTGGGGAGCGAGGAGCCAGCTGGATGCTTCCCACTGGATCCAGGGATGTGCCAGGGCAGGGAGGGAGAGCTCAGGGGTGGGTTTACCTTGTAAAGCTCCCAGAATTTCTCCTTGAGCTCATCCCAGCTCTCCTCCAGAGACTGACCTTCCAGGGCGCCGATGCCTGTGGGGACAGAGTCAGTGGGAGTGGGAGCATGGATGGGAATTGCCATCTCAGTGCCAGACATGGAAAGGGCCCCCAAAACCCTCTCAATACGGGAGGGAAGGGCACTGAAGCACCATCCAGAGGGAGGGAGCTCCAGGAAATGGAAGGGGAAGCACAGGGGCTGCACTGATCTCTGGTGAGCAGGGACAGGACCCAGGGAGCAGCTGGAGCTGAGTCAGGAGAGGGTTAGGTTGGATATTGGGAAATTCTTCCCCCAGAGGGTGGTGGGGCACTGAACAGGCTCCCCAGGGCAGCGGGCACAGCCCCAAGGCTGCCAGTCCTCAAGGAGGGCTTGGACAACGCTCTGAGGGACAGGGGGGGATTGTTGGGGTGTCCTGATGATCCCTGGGGGTCCCTTCCCACTCAGGATATTCCAGGATTCTACAGAAATCCTGCTGCATTGTTTCTGTGTTCGTAGGGGACAAATCAAGGCCCAACTCCTTCAATAAAGAGGGGCAGGGGGTGGAGAAGAACAAAAGCAAACCCTGGGGAACGTGTCCAGAACTCTTGGACGACGCCCCGAGAGACAGGGGGGGATTGTTGGGGTGTCCTGGGCAGGGCCTGGAGTTGGACTGGATGATCCTTGGGGGTCCCTCCCAGCTCAGGATATTCCAGGATTCCACGAACCCCACTTCCAGCCCGCGGTGCCACACGTACCCAGGAAGTACCAGGCGCCCAGGCCGGGCGATGCCACGAGCTGGTCGATGAGGACTTTCTTCAGGACCGTGCGGAGGCTCCGCACGCCCCGCGCCGGGAACGCCGAGTCCAGCCAGAGGTACCAGTAGTGCATCAGGGGGCCCATGCTGCAGCCAACGGCAAACATCCGACCTGGGAACAGCACCAGGGGCAGGGATGGAGGATTTGCACTGCCAGAGGGCAGGGTGAGGTGGGATAGGTGGGATATTAGGGAGGAATTCTTCCCTGGGAGGGTGGGGAGGGCCTGGCACGGGTTG